CCCCACAAACCCCTCGCATCCCTCCCTTGCTCTGCCTTCCTTCCACTCTGCGCCCCAGGGGCCCCTCATGTCTCCCCACACCCCCCAAGAACTTGGACCCCCAAGACCTCTGCAGTTACCCTGCACCCCTCTGTGTCCCTCCCCACACCTCCACATCCCCCCAGGGACCCCCTGTGCGCCCCTGCACCATTTATCCATCCTCCAGTCCCCCACCTTGCACATCTCCATGTCCCCTCATGCACTCTGCACCCCTTAGCACCCACCCTGCACCCCCTGTGTTCCCCCATTCATCCCCCAGCACCCACTTTGCACTCCTTGTCTCCCCATTCATCCCCCCTTATATCTTGAACCCCCCACATGCTCCCTGTCCCCCTCTGTGCACCCATCCTGGACCCCTTCACCCCCTCTACACTCTCTGTCCCCATTCTGCCTCCTGTACCCCTCTCTGCACTCACCCTACATTCCTTCAGCCCCCTGCACCCACCCTGCATCCCTGTCCCCATCCTGCTCCGCTGCATCCCCCCATCCCCATCCCTGCACCCACCCTGCACCCCCTGCCCCCCTACCACTCCCTACCACCCCTCCTGCCCCTCATCATGTGCCCCCCATCCCACCCCTGGGGACATCAGTGCCACGACCTTGACCCATCCCGGGATCGATGGGGTTGGGGGATGGAGGGTTGGAGTTCATCACCCCGGGGCAGAGGGAGCTCATCCCGGGTGCTGCTGTGGGGTGACAGCCCTGTCCCCTCGTGTGCCCCCCTGCCACAGGGACCGACCTGCCGGTGTGTGCGAGCTGTGGGCAGGGCATCTACGATGGGCAGTACCTGCAGGCGCTGAAGGCAGACTGGCACTCGGACTGCTTCAGGTGGGACCCGCCGGGGGACAGCGGGGACACCGGGAGGGGTGGCAGCGGGACCGCTGGCATGGCACTGGGGACACTGAGATGGGGGCATCAGGATGGGTGGTGTGATGGACACTGCAAAGGATGGCCTTAGGGACATCGAGATGGCTTCAGGGGCACCGGGATGGCATCAGTGATATCAGGATGGGTGGTGTGATGGACACTGGAAAGCATGGCCTTAGGGACATCAAGATGGCTTCAGGGACACCAGGATGGCATCAGGGGTACCAGGATGGCATCGGGGATATCAGGATGGGTGGTGTAATGGACACTGGAATGGATGGCATCAGGAACACCAGGATGGCATCAGGGACACCGGGATGGCATCGGGGATATCAGGATGGGTGGTATCATGGACACTGGAATGGAAGGCATCAGGGACACTGGGATGGCCTCAGGAGCACCGGGATGGCCTCAGGGACATCAGGACGGGTGGTGTGGTGGACCCCAGCATGGATGGCCTTAGGGACACTGGGATGGCCTCAGGGACACCGGGATGCTCCGCAGGGACAATGACAGAGGACCCCCCCCCCCGGCTCTGGTGGTGGCACAGCGGGGTGTGAGGCTGTCACGGTGTCACACGAAGCGTGGCTGTGCATCCTGGCACTCGCCGTGGGTGCCCCGGGCAATGCCCGGCCTGGCAGGGGGCCCTGCTGCCTGTCCCCCGCGCTGTCCCCTCCTGGCCGGTGACAGGGTGCGCGTGGCTGATGTCACCCGCCCCCCTCCCTCCCTGTTTCCTCTTTCACTCGAGCCCTCCCGGCAGCTCCAGCCGTGGGAGCCCCGAGGAGGACAAGGAGGAAAGTCCCGGCTCGGGGGTCGCAGGGGGTGGCCGGGACCTGCCGGGGTTCCCCGTGGGGCTGGGGGTGCCGGGGTGTCTCCGGGGTGTGCCCCCTGTCCCCTGGGGAGGATGCTGGCGGCGGTGCTGAGGAAGAGCCGCGTCCTGAGCGCTGGAGCCAAGTGAGTGGGAGTGGGGATGGGAATGGGAATGGGAGTGGGATCGGGTCAGGACGGATTTTCACCCCATGGACCCCTGGGGGTCTCAGCCTGTGCCCCCCATCCCCCCTCCTTGGGCCATCGGCCCCAGCGAAGCCACTGCGGGGCCGCAGCTGGATCCGGCCCCCCCGCCACGGGTGAGCGGCTTCCGGCAGCGCTGGGGAGCCTTCCCCCTCCTCCTCCTCCTCCTCCTCCTCCTCGCGCTGCTCCCCTTCCTCCCCCTCCTCCCCCTCCCCGTCCCCATCCCCGCCCCCAGCCCAGGGGATGGTTCGTGCTGCGCCATCGGGCGGGGGAGTCCTGATGCGGTGACGTCATGGGGTGGGGAAACTCCTCGCCGTGACGTCACCGCTGGTTGGTGTTTCACCTGCGCGCCCGCCCACGGCTGGGGGGGGACTGCGACAGTCCCTGTGCACCCCCCAACACCTCCTGCGGCGTGTCCTGCAGCAACCCCAACACCTACAGCACATCCCCTACAGCACCCCCTCTGCATCCCCCCTACAGCACACCCCCTATAGCACATCCCCTATAGCATTCCCTCTGCATCCCCCCTACAGCACACCCCCCATAGCATCCCCTCTGCATACCCCACTACAGTAAATCCCATATAGGATCCTCTCTGCATCCCCCCCCAGCAAATCCCTATAGCAAGTCTCCTATAGCATCCCCTCTGTATCCCCCCTACAGCAAATCCCCTATAGCAAGTTCCCTATAGCATCCTCCCTACAGCAAATCCCCTACAGGCCCTATAGCAAATCCCCTATAGCATCCCCTCTGCATCACCCCTACAGCAAATCCCCTATAGCAAATCCCCTACAGCACCCCCTGCACCCCTTCTGCAACCCCACGATCACTCTTCCCCCTTATAGGAACTCCCCACCTGCAACCCTCCTGGTCCCCTAAAGCAGCCCCCTACAGCAAATCCCCTATAGCATCTCCCCTGCACTCTGTCTGTACCCCTCCAACAACCCACCCCCATATCCCCTATGGGAATCCTGCACTTGCAGCCCCCCTGCACCCCTACAACACATCCCCTATAGTGCCCCTCCTGCACCCTGCAGCCACACCCCCCTGCAGCCCCCATAGGAACTCCCCATTTGCAGCCCCCCTGCACCCCTCCCACAACACCCCCATACAGCAAATCCCCTATAGCACCCCCCTGCATCCCCCACACCTCCCCACCCCAATCCCCTCTAGTACCCCCTGCCCCGCTCCTGCCCCTGACACAGCACCCCTGTACCTGCCTGTGCACCCCCAAACCTGGCAGCCCCCCCATACCCCTGGTGCCCCCTCCTGTGGCACAGCCCTGTCACCCCCTGGCGGCCCCCAAGCACATCCCCAACCCCTGCACCCCCTGGGGCACTGCACCCCCAAGGATGGCATGTCCCTCTGTTTGGGGGTTTGTGACCAAGGGGGCACGTCCCTCTGCCCGTGACCAGGGTGACAGATCCATGGGCAGGATCCCCCTTGTGTGACCATGGACAGGCTGGCACGTCTGTGACCAGGGTGGCACCAGGGTGGAATGTCCCTCTGTCCGTGACCAGGCTGTCACACTTGTGACCAGCCCGTCACATCCTTCTGTGTGTCTGTGCCAGGCTGGCATGTCACCCTAGCCATACATAGAGAGACGTCCTTCTGTGTATCTGTCACCAGGGTGGGATGTCCTCTCTGTCCATGACCAGGCTGGCACATCCCTCTGTGTGTCTGTGCCAGGCTGGCACGTCTGTCACCAGGGTGGCATGTCTGTGACTGGTCTGGCACATCCCTCTGTGTGTCCATGCCCAGGCTGGCACGTCCATGCCGGGCTGTCACCTCCCTGCCCCATGTCTGTCCCGGCTTGGTGTCCCCAGATGTCCCTGCAGCACCAGCCTGCACTGTCACCCCTGGAATCCCCTGCTGCCACCCTGGGGAAGGTGGCACACGGATGCAGTGGGGTAGGAAACAGGGGAAGCAGCTTGTCCAGAGATCCATGGGGTGGAGGAGCACTGGCTGTGCCCTGGGGTGACAATGGGGATGGGTGACAAGGGTGTCCCTGTCCCTGGCGCAGGTGCTGCGAGTGCGGGGCCTCCCTGTCCCACCAGTACTACGAGAAGGATGGGCGGCTGTACTGCAAGAAGGATTACTGGGCACGCTTTGGGGAGCTGTGCCACGGCTGCTCCGAGCACATCACCAAGGGGCTGGTCATGGTGAGCACCGGGGGGTCCCTGGGGTGGGACACGGAGCCCTGACCCACAGCTGAGCTCCTGGAGAAGGGTGAGGTGGGGAGGGAGTGCAGACCCCCAGCACGGGTTGGGCTTTGGGGGTTTGCACTTTAGGTGGGACTGAGGGAGGCTCAGGGTGGTGGGAGGATGTCCCTGCAGTCGTTCCCAGCCTGGTGGCACCTCTGTCCCCACCACCCTGCCCGCCCTTCCGTTGTGCCCAGTGCACCCCTGGGTGCTCCCAGCACCATCACTCACCCTCGGTGCCCCAGACACGGGGGTCCCGGGGCTGATGGTGTCTGCCCACAGGTGGCTGGGGAGCAGAAGTACCACCCCGAGTGCTTCAGCTGCCTCAACTGCCGCACGTTCATCGGGGACGGGGACACCTACGCGCTGGTGGAGCGCTCCAAGCTCTACTGGTATGTGCCAGCCCGCGTGGGAGGGTGGGGACCGCATCCCCTGGCACCCCCCGCCCACCCTTCTCTCCCCTTGTCCCCGCAGCGGGCACTGCTATTACCAGATGGTGGTGACGCCGGTGATCGAGCAGATCCTGCCGGATTCCCCGGCTTCCCGCATCCCACACACCGTCACGCTCGTCTCCATCCCCGCCTGCTCCGACGGAAAACGCGGCTTCTCCGTGTCCATCGACCAGGGCTGTGGCACTGAGCACCCCCGCACCGTCCGTGTCCGAGAGTGCGTCCCTGTCCCCTCTGCCACCCTCCCCGCCCCGGGGCTGGGCCATCCCGTGTCCCTTCTGCTGCTGGGATCCACCCCAGGGACACTTTCTGGGGTGGGAGGAGGAGGGATGGGGTCCTCATTGGCCAGGGGTGGCACGTCCCCAGCTGCAGGGGGTTGTTGTGGGACCCACGCTGATTTGTCCCTGGCCATCAGCGTGGCTGGGGGGTGACATCCTGGCAGTGCCCCTGGGTACCAGGCTGGCACATCCCCATGTGGTTGAGGTGGCTCGTGGGCACTGTGCCAGCATGTCCCTGTCCAGGAGGAGGGACCTGTGCCTGCGTGTCCCCATCTAGCAGAGGTGACTGGTGGGGACCATGACTGTGTGTCCCCATCCCAAAGGGTGACTCGTGGGTGTCATGACAGCATGTCCCCATCTGGCAAGGGTGACCCGTGGGTGCCATGACTGCGTGTCCCCATCCAACAAGGGCATCATGCCTGCATGTCCCCGACCAACAGTGGGTGGCCCGTGGGCATCTTGCCTCCACATCCCCATCTTGCAGGGGATGTGGCTCGTGGGTGCAGTGACTGTGTGTCCCCAGAGATGACTCGCAGGGGCTGTGCCAACCTGTCCTCTCCCCACTGACTGGGTGAGGGTCATGGGCAGTGTCCCAGCACATCCTCAGTGGTGACAGTGTCAGGAGGTGATTCCATGGGCAGTGTCCCAGCACATCCCCACCAGTGAGGATGTCAGGGAGGCGACCCCGTGGGCAGTGTCCCAGCACACTCTTGGAGGTCTGACCTTGCTTCCTGCTGACCCCCCAGGGTGGACCCAGACTGCATCAGCCCTGACATGAAGAACTCCATCCACGTGGGCGACCGCATCCTGGAGATCAATGGCACCCCCATCGGCCACGTCCCCCTGGACGAGGTACATCCCCCCCCGGGTGCCCCCCCCACCCAGCCCCCCTCCTCAGCATGGCCCCAAAACGACCCCACTGTCCTCTTCTACCCCCAGATCGACCTGCTGATCCAGGAGACCAGCCGCCTGCTCCAGCTGACCATCGAGCACGACCCCCACGAGCCCCTTGCCCGGGAACCGGGGCTGGCCGGGAGCCCCCTGCCCGCCCCGTGCAGCCCCCTGCGCTCCCCGGCCCCCCCGGAGCCCGCGGCCATGCGCCAGCGCGCTGTCACGTAAGGCCACCGCCTCGGGCCCTCTCCCCTTGGCGTCCCTCCTGGGGGCTGACCCTCTGTCCTTCCGTCCCACAGGAGGAGCTGCAGCACGGACAAGTCCCCGGGCTCGGGCTCCGTGGGCTCCCCCGCGTCCCAGCGCAAGGACATCGGGCGCTCCGAGTCCCTGCGCGTCGTGTCCCGCGCCCACCGCATCTTCCGCCCCTCCGACCTCATCCACGGGGAGGTGCTGGGCAAGGGCTGCTTTGGCCAGGCCATCAAGGTGGGACTTGTGGCAAATGTGGGGATCTGGGCTCCCCAGGGTGGAGGGGGTGGTGTCCCCAGGGATGGGGGTGGCTCAGTCCCTGCGCTCCCAGGTGACGCATCGGGAGACGGGCGAGGTGATGGTCATGAAGGAGCTGATCCGCTTCGACGAGGAGACACAGAGGACCTTCCTCAAAGAGGTGAGTGTCCCCTTTCCATAACCTCCTTTTCCTTAACCTCCCTTTCCTTAACCCCCCCTTTCCTTTAACCCCCCTGGTTTGGGGGGACACGAGGGGTGGGGCTGTCCCATCCTGTCCCCCACCTGACGTGGGTCTGGGCACAGCACGTGGAATGGGGTGTCCTGGCACTGTGGGTGCAGCCCTGCCCGCAGCAGGGGGTCTGCCCAGGTGGGTGTGGGTGCCTCGGGGTGTCACGGACACGGGGGGCGTGGGGGGGTCTCCTGCAGGTGAAGGTGATGCGCTGCCTGGAGCACCCCAACGTGCTCAAGTTCATCGGGGTGCTGTACAAGGAGAAGAGGCTCAACTTCATCACAGAGTACATCAAGGGGGGCACCTTGAGGGGCCTCATCAAGAGCATGGTGAGCACTGGGGGGGACAGCTTGGCCCCCCACCACCCCACAGTGGGGCTGGGGGACCCCTCTCCTCTTCTGTTCTGTGGCAAATCCCTCCTCCTGCTCCTGCTCCCCAGGACAGCCACTACCCCTGGAGCCAGCGGGTCAGCTTCGCCAAGGACATCGCCGCTGGCATGGTGGGTGTCACTGTGGGGTGGGTGCCACTGCAGGGTGGGTGTCACTGTGGGGTGGGTGCCACTGTGGGATGGGTGTCACTGTGGGGTGGGTGGGTGTCATTGTGGGGGGAGTGGGTGTCACTGT